TTTGAGTAGCAGAATATTCTGGACATTACTGAATACAAGTTAATATAAGATTGGGGTAAAACAGGACAAGGTTGAGCAATCTTTCAGTTATTCTGAGGAGGAAGCGTGGATTTATTAAATTTCCTATACCCAAGTGACTCTGGGAAGCTTACAACAACTGTTATTGAATTGCTGAAAATTGCCCCACCTGTTTCCACTAGTAGAAGTTATCACTGGAAAAACCTATTACTGGGTCAATAGTAAGTCTTGGAGTCAGCAGTTTCCCCAAAGCTTACTCAAAGCTTAGTACACTAAGACTAGCTCTTATCTCCCTACCTAAGCCAAGATTGTTTATTTTGTTTAGTCAAAACACGTATGACTATTTTAACTAAATCACCAACAAAATAAGTTGACTCTCAGTTCAGAAAACATTGTATCATTTACTCTTTTCTACTAGATAAATTTCCTAGAGTTCTCACCTCCAACATCTATGACATCTGAACTCTTAAATGTCTTTTTCCTCTATCTGTTTTGGAAGAAGGCAGAGTGACTTTTTAAATATTGATTTTAAACATATAAATTACTAATGTTGCCATTAATTGAATCTCTTCTAGTGCAGATGAGCTTTTGCTGACAGAAATGATGTTCAATGGGCTTTTCAATGATTTATCTGCAGAACAAGCAACTGCTTTATTAAGCTGCTTTGTATTTCAAGAAAATGTAAGTTATCTTTTCCACAGAAGTACCCATGCTAATGTGTTACAACAAAACAAATTAAAAATGAAGGGATTTGTGACACTTCTAAGACCTACTAGGTCTTTTATTATATCATGATAAACAGGAATTTGAGGACATGAAAAGATGCTTAGAGTATTGATAGAGAATACCAGGAGGAAATTAGCATGAGCTTCCATGAAATAGCAATAGGGCACTATGTTGGCTTCCTTCTCTGCTCTTATTGTTCCTGCAGTTGGTTATTCAGCAAACTTGTCCCCTTTGAGGAGTGACAGTAAGGAAGAATTGCTTCAAGACTGCACAGATAGGTTTACAAAATTCATTGAGAATTCACTCGGAACTTGACACATACGATGGCACTAGTGTCTAATGATGTTATGTGGGATTCTTTTGAACCTGTGGAGTTCAAATAAATGAATTAGAGTCCTCTGTAGTATAAACTCAGCTATGTGCCATAGTTAAAGCTGCCAGAGAAAGAAATAATATATTGAATGATTAATGCTGCTTAAATAGGCAGGTAGTACCCATCATTTTGAAGGAGGAAGCTGTGCAAGGAAACCTCCCTTGATTCAAATGTTCTAAGCAACGTCCAGTTGATTTCCATCGTTCTCTTTAGAGTAGGTTACTAAAAAGATGGGAGATGAGTTTAGCTACTGAAGACTTTGAAAGAAAAGGTTCTATCTAAATAAAATGAAGTCATACTTCAATCTTGCAGATGGAAATAAAATAGTACTTGTCATCCTGTAGATAACCCATGAGAATGTGATGTCATGATGACTGTGTTTTTTTTAAAATTATATTTATGTGGATTTAGTGTGTATTTTTATTATTTTGGTTTCATAGTATTTTTATGATGTATTTTTTTATGAGCCACCCAGTTTCTGCAATTGAACTTGCCTACACTATAATGCCAAAGAAATGAACACAGGCACTTTCATGGCTCACTTCATCAGGTGCATGGAGTAAATTCCTACAGGGGTGATGGGGAGTGGAAGAAAAGGAAATGACAGGGGAGGGAGGCTGGCGAGAGCCTCTTCAGCTCTCCAAACAACCCTGACCATTCCTTCTCCATAGGAAGAGAGGAAATTCGTTGATCTGATCACTTAATAAATATGGAAATAATTCTGCAAGAAAAGTCAAGAGAACGAAATTAATTTTGGTTACAGAGCATATGTCAGAGATAAAAGTGTTGGCAAGGAAGCTTTATAAAGATATTAAAAGTGTGATGACCACAGTCTGTGAAGTGTCTTTGATTCCACTAAGATTTTATATGGTAGTTACATGAATTTTAAATTTGTAGAATATATAGAAGTTGTTGATGTGTTTTTTTCAGTCTAGTGAAATGCCCAAACTAACTGAACAATTGGCAGGTCCTCTCCGACAAATGCAGGTAAATGTTTTTCAGTTCATTACTTATGCATAAGTTATTCTAATGCTTAGTATAAAATGTCCTACAAAATTCAGATTGAAAGCTTAAACGTAAATTGGCAAGTGTGTTTTTCTAATGAGAAAAATGCATCTGTTTACGTTAGAAGACTGTATAAATTTGTCTGCTTTTCTTGTCTTGCAATCATCTTATATCACAATTGCAATGTTAATCAAACTTCTGAGGTCCAAACTGTCTTAAAGTTATGTGTTTCACTTAATTATAAATCTTCCAGCATAATTTAAAATTGTGTCAGCCTTGGAAGCCATTTTTTCCTAGGGAGCAACAAGTTGTTTTGTTGAATATGATTGGATAACATGATTTGGAAGAATTTATCTCAGGAATACTCTACATTTGAAATGCTGGGAGCTCTCATAATATGGCTGTCATGGATTGGATGGATATATCTAGTTCCATTCATTTGACAGAGGGAAACTGGCAAGGATACTCTGTTATGACTTCCAATCTGTTCCTTTGATTCATTTTTATTTTCTTAAGAGTGTCTGGGATCCAGAAATATTTTTGAAGTTAAAGATAAGGCTAGAAATTGACATTTCACTTTAAAAATATATGTTTAAAAAAACATGATAGGAACTATACAGTAATATCTACAATCTGATTGATGCCTCAAGGAGTATCATTTGGGAATCCCAATTTTATCCAATTAATGTGAGCTCTGTTTTAGCCTGTGCCAGCATACAGATTTCCCACTATGAAGCAGAAGCTATTTTTACATTAAGTAATTATATTCAAATAATTACTTTATTTAGAACATAAAAGAAATGTGTAAGACATACATTTTATTTCTCCTTCAAGAATAGAAATTAAACCATGACTGATATGTGGGCTTAAGGACAATTATTTCTGTGTTTGGTTTGCTGATTTAAATAAAATGGGTTTTCGTTCTTAAGGAATGTGCGAAAAGAATTGCCAAAGTTTCAGCAGAAGCTAAATTGGAAGTTGATGAGGAAAACTATCTCAGTTTGTTCAGACCAAACCTGATGGATGTGGTATACACATGGGCCAATGGAGCTACATTTGCTCATATATGTAAAATGACAGATGTCTTTGAAGGTATGTGCGTTTATTTTGTTGCTGGAGTTAAAAATTAAAGACTCAAATACTTTAGTTTGTAAATAGTTGTGGTTGTACCGTGTCTTTTTCACTTTGGTAATTATTCTTAAGAAAGGAAGAATGTCCAACGAAGGATCAGATAACATGGCATTGTGTCCTAATAAATGATACATTATTTTTCCCCAGTTCCTTTAGGAGGGAGAAATTGGCTTTCACATTGAAAAACACCAAATTAGTTTCTCTTTTCCCAATTCCATTACAAATTTTCATGGGTATTTTCTTTTTTTTAAAAAACTATGTATTATGACATTTGTACTGAATACACCCAGCAAACCATAGTTTCTGTTAGGGGTAGAGCATGGGTGTCAAACTCACGGCATCACAGCGTTGTCACATGATGTACTGGGACTTTTTTCCCCTTTGCTAAACCAGGTGGGAGCGGGGCCAGCACACGATGCATGCAGGCTGCGAGTTTGAACCCCTGGAGTAAAGGGAGAATTGCCAATCATAGAACAATCAAATAGAATGCTTGGGGCTGAAAAACTTTTAGGGCTTCCATTGAAATTTCTGCCTGAGGGTTCTGAGAAATGTGTGATACTGCATGTCCTGCATCCTTCATTCAACTTTAGAAGTTTCTACATTGAACTTAAGTGTATTTACTGTAGGGTAACTACACATCAGTAATATTTGGTTTTAAATTTTTTTTAAATTGTTAATTGGCTTAAATGCTCACTAGAAAAGCAGAACATAAATTGAATGAATAAACAAATAAACTGCAGTATTGGCCATTTAGTTTTTAAAACCTTGTTTGGTTGTATAAAAACTAGATATTCTTTACTTTTCCCCACCCGCTACCCAGGCGTTAGCAAATATTGAATGTAATATTGTTTGCTGTGGCAACAGTTGCTTTGAAAACAATTGCAGCCAGAGTAAATGTCAAAGGGTTTCTTTGCAAAAATAACTGTGACATCCAAAGGGGCTTTGCAGAGTGATAAAACACAAGTTCTATATATTTGGTAAATGTGATTTAGAAGTAAATTCTCTAACTATGGACTGAAATTTGGTGTAACTGCACCAAAGGGTTGCTTCCTTTCTTGTTCATGTGCTTGTTTGAGGCCCCCTTTTCTCAGGTTGACGTGTGTGTGTGTGAGAGAGAGAGAGAGTCTTTGCTTTACTCACAAACAAGAGTAGTTATAACATTTTAATTTCTGAGAATTAATGAGAGTATTTCCTTAAAATACTAAGGGATCCCTAAGTTTCTGTAAATTCAAAAGAAGTTGTGAGCTGTTTAAGCCATTATTCCAAGGAAAAAAATTAACGTTTTTTAATGAGATTGTGCGCATCTACGACCTCTTTATAAATCAGGAAAAAATGAGATTAGATAGAAGTAATCTTCCATTATGTCCATCTTCCGCCCACCACTATGCCATTATTGAGAGGATCAGGGATGCCAAGGGAGGAAAAATAAAAAGAGGCCTGGAGTTACTTTTGTTACATATGCATTTTATTGATTGCAGTGAAGCAGGCAGGCAAATTTGTGAACAGTTGCATTTATAAATGCGATATAAAAGTGTCCTCTCATTCTCCATGCGATAAAAGGTTTTCCAGTAAGCAAATTGTTGTTTTTTAAATGGGAGACCAGAATTGCACAATGAGCTAGATTTCTTGTGGTTCAACACTGGACAAGGTGGGATGATTAAATTTGATTAAGCTGCCTACAATAGCATTATTCACTAAGGTAGAAAATTATGTAAAACAACCAAGGCACTGACAATAGCAGCATTACTTTTTGTTAACTCCATGTAAATTGCAAATATTTATTTCCATATATCAGATAAGCAAACAAAAATGCTTCCAAAGTGAGCAGTAATACTGAAAGGCACTTTTCTCAGTCATAGCAAAATACACTGAAGTAAAGTTTTAGTGATATATTGTCAGTTTGGAGAGAAGGTGGGAAAATACAAGCGGCGGGTTCAGTGAGCACATACGCTCACTGAATATCTTGGCACATGGAATTTATTTGTTGCCTGATTCGATGTAACACTTTTTTTATATGACCGTAAAGGTTCTGTAGATGTCAGAATTCTTTATAGCTTTTTACATCCTTTGATTTTGATATCCTTTGATATAAAAATTATTATTTCTCAAAATAAGTTTGCTTAAACTGTAGAAGAAGTCAGCGTTCCAAGCTGTTGTGGCTCAGATTTATTTCCTTTTGATAACTGACTCCGGATGACTTTTTAGAAGAGTTGCTAGATTTGCAATAAGGCAATTAAATTTAATCTTTTGAATTGATGAAATTGTTCATTATATGGGCCTCATTTCTTCAAATTGTCATCAATAGCAAAAATATCTATTCCCTGCCTTAATCTATACTCCCTAGATTACTTTTCCAGTTCTAGCTCTAATATTCATTCAGAATGTTTTCCAGAATGTTTGAAGCAAGACATACCTTTCATAGGTGTCATTGCAGAATATAAAAATATACAGGAGGGAGGATAGGTAGATTCTTGGGTTCTTTTAAGTAACCTGCATTCACAATAAATCTATATCATATGCTAAGGCTAAAATATAATACATGAAGCTTCTTGTATTTCCTTCCCAAAGCAGAGAGTGAGGGATGTCTTGAAATGCCCCAAAGACCACAAAGTACATAAAAGAAATAATCTCTGGATTTCAGAGCCATTTTTAAACTTTTTGTTATATTCTTTTTGCTTCAGATGAAGAAAACTGAATGAGCGAGCTTGATTTTACATACAGCTCCACCAAAAAAAACCATATTAGAGGCAACAGTCCTACTTCATAGAAAGGGCTTGTTTCTTTGTAGAAAATGACTGCTTTAACATGAATTGACTTTGAAAATGACTACTTTACCATTTCTGTCTATGTACATTTCCTCATTCAGGTAGCATAATTCGATGTATGAGGAGGCTAGAAGAATTGCTTAGACAGATGTGCCAAGCAGCAAAGGCCATTGGAAATACAGAACTGGAAAACAAATTTGCAGAAGGTTTGTATGTACAATATTATATAAATACGTGCATCTTTAAATGTAAAATATATTTACAAGCAGTTTAAAATTGCTTGGCCACAAGCCAAAGTATTCCATTTAAACTGAACATGCCTGTTATAATCTGCTGTTGCTGAGGTTGAAAAAAAAAAGGGTGGGAGGTTACCTAGGAGTCTACTAATGTTTTCCTAACAGTCAAAATAGCTGCACAATAGTATCTTGAGGTGGAAATTGGGAAAAAATAAGATATTTTGAAAATTCAGCACTGGATTTTAGTTTCATTTTACTACATCTCATTAGCATGAGCAAGTAGTATCCGACTACAACTATGCCATTAACCGTGGATATATTCTTTTCTTTTTTATTCTCAACAGGAATTACAAAAATCAAGAGAGACATTGTGTTTGCTGCAAGTCTTTATCTATAGGATGACTGTGGTGTGTCTGAACAGCCTTCATTCTGCAGCAGTTACTCCAAGAGCCACTAAAATGACCAGTGCTTCCTCTTCCCAAGCAAGACAGATTTTTATTTTGAATGTATTCCATCGCTGTTTGTAATAAGTGTTATACATTATTTTAATTAAAAAATAGTCAGGATATCGTGTTTATAAGCATAAGCTTGAACCAATAGAAATTGGAGGTTTTTAGATACATTGTTGTTAACTATATACATATAAAGTGAGCACTTAAGAGGTATAGCAGCAGCAGTCCCCTTCAAAAGGCATTTATTTTGTTTTTTACATTAGACAAGAAATATTTGTGAAATTTTCCTTTTAAATAGCAGGAGATTCCACAGGATAATAGCTCTTGAACGTATCATGGCTGGTGATTACTGCCGTAGTGATTTCCATTGGTGGGCGTCTCATGTAGAGTTGTGTGTGAATCTTCCTCCTCCTTCTGTTTAAATGTACGCCCTCTCTCCTTGAAGAAATCTGAGACATACACAACCTGTAGGAACACAATAGTTGGTATTATTACCCATCAGCAGATAGAACAGTACTTACATTATTATTGTTACTGTCCTTCAGAAGCCACTGGGTACACTGGAACTGGAAGACTTTCTCTAGAAGTGGTGGTGGACACCCAACAACTGATTTACAGAGCAAGTGGGGGGGAAAGACCAATAGGTGGGATAGTGAAATGTGGTAAAGGGCTGCTTTGTTCTCCAGTATTGGCAAATGCAAAACTTCATGTCATATTTTCCACATTGCAGTGAACCTATGACACACAAAACTGGCAGTTTAAATATATGAAAGCCCCTTTGTGATTTATTTCAGGGGGGACGGGACCCCAGAAAGGATTAAGTCATATTAGCTTATTTGAAAATGGAATTGATCAAATGATAGGGAAAAAATGGTACAGACTTACGATAACGGTTGCTACCAGTGCTCCCTGGATGAGTCCAGTCAATACATCGCTCCAGTGATGTTTATAATCAGAAACACGGGAGAGGCCCACGTAAATGGATGAAGCAACAAGTCCAAACTGGACTGTAGGACGCAAAAGTCTTGCCCAGTCATTTTTCATTCGGGCCTGAAGATAAAGCTAAAATCGAAAAGGCACACTTTCAGCAAGAGAATGGAAGATCTGTCAAAAATTAAACATTTTTTTGTAGAAAATACAATCACGTAATGGATATAGTATCGGCATTGCAGAAGGCGGGTAGATCACCTTGCTAAGATAAGCATAAAGACAACTTGAGTGCTGTTTCTTCATATTCAGTATTGTACTTAACATTTTTACAGACATCCTATCAGCCTATATATGTATGTATAAAATATTGCTCATTTTTAAATTCAAAGCGGTGCGGTGTTCAATAATAAGCTACAGGTGTTATTATGGTTGTCCTTTTCTGAATAAGGAGATTAGTCAATGCCACAATCATTTCTTTGACAGTCATTGTGAAAAAACATCTCCTTACAAGTATTCTGAGGTGTCTAAAAGTTCTTAAGAGTATGGCAATATTAATCACAAAACAATAGCAGTAATGACCAGAGCAGGACATGGCATTTTCTAAACAGGCTTCCACTTTTCTCCTTCAGAATAGGCACAAAAGTGCTCCTTCTTCCCAAGCAATATTTGCCTAGAACCGACCTTTCAGACCTAGTTCCTTAATATCCATAAGGGAGGAACACTAAGATGTTAGCAAGTAATTTATCCTCATATACTATAACTGTTCAACAAATAATTATATGGTGTCCTGGACATGAAAAATACTAACAGAAGCAAATCATTGTGTAAAGTCACATATATTATGAACTGAACTGCAAGTCGCATGTGTGCTTCCAAAGATAAACATGAAAAGTTTCCTGCCTGTTAGAAACATTAGCTTTATCTGAATGAATACACATTCACAGACTTAGGTTTCTGAAACTAGTGATTACATCACCCTTTTGGTACTCATCTGTGTCATTCTGCTATAAAAAGACTGAAATTTAATGCCATATGGAGCGATTTTTAACCAGGTAAGTTTTTCATAGATTCAAGCTGTACTTGGTCTGACTTTCTTAAATATTTGTATGATTGAAGTTTAAGGCATTCTGCAGGCATATTCTTCAAAGATGAATGCAGGAGTTTTGACACCAAGGCAGGTATGAAGTTCAACATAGTAAAATTGCATAGTAGTGTTCCAAGCCAAACAGTCTCTAGACCTTTTTTGTGACTTGTGACCGTTACACTAATGTAAACCATTTAGTTCCAATGAGAACTACAGCCAGGAGTTATTCTGATGGTCTAAAAAAAGCAGGCTGGCAATATGTCCTGGCATTCATCCTTTTTTCCAATTTAGGAATTCCACTGAAGACATTGAAAAATGCTTTACTTGGCTAATATGGTTTCCATACACAAGCAATTGCTGTAGTTGGCAGAGCGACATTACACATGTAGGAGGGAAGGTGGTATATGTGGTCACGAGTGGGAGAAAAGGTGGAACCTTAAGACAGTCGTTTAGAAACTTGTGGTTCGTACACAAAACGGGTTGAATGCCTGGGAGCTAGGTGGTAGCTGGTAGGATTTCATCCAACTTGCCAATATGTCAAAATTGAATGAATGATTAAAATGTGGTATTTGAACCTCCCTGAAGTAGAAATGGTTTCATAAAGCAGTACTCTGAACAACTGAGATGGCAAAACAGGAAACGTGGCTTTAATGTTTATTCATGGGTTTTATTTCCATATGTTAGGGGCACTAAGTTGCTCTGTTTTGCCAGGCTCCGGGCAGAAATAAAGAAGAAACAGCATTTGCTTCACTGTCTCTCTTCAGATGTTAAAAGAATGTGATTAATGATGAAATAAAATAAATTCTAAATACAACTATGACTGAGGCAAATTACATGATATGAGATTCTTCTCAGGTTGGATAGGGTTGGAGTTGGGTCCAGCATATTTGTGATTTCTCAGGGCACATCACTTTCTGGGACTGTCCATCATAAAAGCCCTGAAGGTGGAGAGTGGCAGGAGGCAGGATGACCACAGAGTTCCTCTGAGATCAAATCTCTATATTGAGGGAAATGCAAAGTATTTTTATTCTCTATTCCAAAAGCTATATTCATGCCCATTTGTAGATTATAAAGTTTACAAACTCATCCTAGAGCTTCAAAAATTCTTTTTTTAACATTAAAGTGTTAAACTGTACATTAAACTGACAAGATTCTATAATGTTAGTTTCCTTTATTTGCAACAAGTAATTTGCAATCCTATATTCATGTTACCACTAAGTTCCACTTTCTTTCAGAAGCTGTTAATTGGATTCTATTGGGCATTTCAAGGTGGAGATTATTACAAGTATTAGGTAGCTAATGATTCAATATGTTAGAATCTTTTTAATCTGGAGTGGCATATAAATTGTATAAGTAATACACTGAGGTGGAACCAAGAGTTAGATTTCAGTTTGTTCAGCAATTGGGATGTTTCCAGTGGATTTTTTTTTCATGAATATTGTGCAAGCTTTTGGACTGCTGCCAATTGCAGGGGAGGAGCAGGAGTATGAGGGGTTAAGTGGTTACAGCGAAGTGGGAGTTTGAAAGATGCTGGTCATGGAGACACCAGTGCCAAGGCATTTCTAAGCTTGCTGGCCCTAAGCAAAAGGATGGAGACAAATGACTTGTTTATAAATTTACAACAGAGCCATTTCTCTACCCTATTCCAAAGGTAGTAATTTATATTGTATTTAATTATATTACATGATGTATTTACAGGCTACATTTAAAAATTCTTCTATTAATTTAAAATGACCTACCGTAGTTCATGACCATCCATAGGTTACATCAAGATGTGTTTAGGTAAGATAGGTAACCTTTCACCCATAATTAAATATACAATTTTTGCTACAAATATACTAAGTATATTATTCCTGGCTTTTGATCCAAGACTTTTTTCATTGGAAGTTGAAATGCAACCCTCATTCTGCTACATTCCTTTTTCAAAAAGTACCATGGCTCCATTTAATATATTTCCAAGAAGAAAAACATTTGCCTTCTAATAAACATCACAGCCAGCAAACTTAAAAGGGTTTTTGGAACAACCATTAAATAGTTGTAGAAGATCTGACAAAAAAGTGAGTAATGTGCAATTATTTCTACTCATTTTCTCCAGTTCTTTGTTCACGAGACTGACAAATCCTCTGGGTGTAAATATAGAGCTGCCTCAACAAGACAGATTTTTTGGGAGATTCTTCTTAGTGCCTGGTTATGACGTGCTCCACCACAGCAAACTTTTCCACTACAATGCTGCTCTTGCTATGTCTCTCCATGCAATTATACTCTGCTATGAGCTCTCTTCTCACACAATCTTAACAGCTTATAAAATGCAAGCTACGCATTATATTTTGTTTTTAATATCTACAAAGAACTACTGAGTGAAAGAATAGAGGAGGTGGTGTACATCTGCAGAAGTCAGACTTCAAACAAAGACTGAGATAATCAGATAATTTTAAGCCTTAAACTCTGCATTGTAGTTTTAGCCTCTTTTTTTGTCCTATACACTAAATGTAAGTCAGATGCTTGCAGATCATGTTTAAAGCCAAGACCATAGAAAATAAAGGGGATTTTAACTCTGAGGTGATCATCTAATTCACAGCCCTATCCTGTATAGTCATATATATGATGGATACTTCTGAATACAGTCACTGCTGACATAGAGGGATGGTGCAGTATATGTTATATCTTATCTATTAAAGATCTCTGTCTCATTATAAGGGCAAGCAGAGGAAAGAGATACTGAGGCAGCATTCTAATGTTCATAACAGATCATTATCACCCAGGGAAGCCATTCAATAAAGTGGGCCCAGGCCATATTTGAAAGTCATCTAAAAGGGCACTTTGAATCCTACTCCTGGTTTTTCTTTACAGGGCTAAATTCTATTCATCTGATGTGTTTATGATCCTCAGTGGAATGAAAGCAGCAGAGAGAAAAAGGATCCAAGCATAACAACACCTGGTCTGAACAAGGAAAATTTAGATACCTGAACCAGCTCATAAAAGATCACCAATCCCTTCTTTACATTTCTTCAGTTTTCTGTTCTTGACATGTAGAGACAGACACACCTCTTTATTTCTATAGACTCATGTATGGACTTTGTTGAATGTGTGCAAACCTCTATTCTTTGAAAATAGTTAAACATTTGGAGGTAGCACCAAAAAAGGCTCAACTGATTTGGTCAACAAACACAAAGAGATTGTACTTTGGTCCAAATGTAGGCATAGGATTGCAGCAACTCCACTTTAAAATTTGCTTTAGAAGATTTTTTTTAAGTTTTTCAATAGGGACTTTAAAATCCTGTCAGCTAAACCATTTTGCAGAGCTAGCCTGCCAAGCAAAAGATATGAGGCTGAAAAAAGCCTCTCTGCTGCCAAGACTGCCACAGTCTGCACAGAGCATACATCTGAAACTCAGCCTATAGTGAAAAAGCCATGACCGCTGCTCTTGTCTTAGCCAATAGGTGCTCCCGCCACAGGCTCTCCTAGGGCAATGGTTGCCAACCAGTGGGCCAGGAACCACTGGTGGTCCGTGAGAAAATTTTGGTGGTCCACAGAGAAGTGTCACCCCCAAAGCATCCCCCCAAAGCAATTAATCCAGACTGCACGGGAACACAAGGCTGCGCTGCCCACTTGGCCCGCAGAAACACAAGGCTTGTGTCACTTGCATTGTGAACAACACGAGGTAGTGAGGGGAGGGGGGAAAGGGCAGAGCAGGTGAACTTGCCTCATGTGCCCCATGTGCCTCGCCTGGCCACTGGGCTGCATCTTTCTTTTTCTTTTCTTTTTTTTTGCCTTTGGCTGCACACAAGGAAAGCAGCAAAAGTCTTTCTTTCTCTCCCCCAAGCTCCACCAGAAATGAGTCTTTGGCAAGGCATCCTGCTCCAAGAGGCTGCACCATTCTGCCAGAGTTTGGGGAGAGAAAGAAAGACTTCTGCTGCTTCTGCTGCTTTCCTTGCATGAAGCCAAAAGTCTCTCTCTTTCCTTCCGAGAATGGAGCTGGAAACAGTATCCTGCGATACCAAATAAAGAATGATTGATCGGTATGAAAATGGGGTGGGGAATTTTCCTG